TACACCCAAGGGTACCCCTCTTGCCCAGACTTCACCACCATCTACAACAAGCTCCGCGATCTTGACCCAGTCCCCGACTACTCCCTTCACGACAACCTTCTCTACATCGACACCAAAGGCACTCGCCGACTTTGCATCCCCGACGCACGTGGTCTCCGTACTCAGCTCTTGGCCGAGCACCACGACGCCAAGACCGCAGGACACCTCGGTTTCCAGAAAACCTTCGACACCATCTCCCGCTACTTCTATTGGCCTTCCCTGCTCGTCGATGTCAAAGCATACATTCGCTCATGCTCCACGTGCCAAGCTGTCAACCCCTCAAACCGGGCCAAACCCGACAAGCTCCAATCATTGCCCATCCCAACTCATCGTTGGCAGTCCATCTCCATGGACTTCGTGTGCGGCCTCCCCAAGACCTACCGCGGGCATGATTGCATCTACATCATTTTCTGCCGCTTGACCAAACGTGCCCACTTCATTCCTTGCACGACTTCGCATAGTGCCAAAGTCGCCACCCTCTTCTTCGATCATGTCGCACACCATCACGGCCTTCCCGAGAACATCATCAATGACCGTGATCCCCGCTTCCTCTCACAATTCTGGAAACACCTCTTCAAAGCATATTGAACCACGCTAAAGTATAGCATTGCGTTCCACCCCCAGACCGATGCACAAACCGAGAAGATGAACGATACTCTCCAAAGAATCCTGCGGAAGTATTGTCATCCACACCAACACGACTGGGACCAGTTGCTCACTGCCGCCGAGATCGCCTATAGCAACGCCGTCTGCCCTTCCACTGGCATGTCCCCGTTCTACCTTGACCTTGGCTACCATCCTCGCTTGCCCTCCGATTTCCTGCTTCCCTCGCAGCTCAACCCCTCCACACCCTGCCCTTCCCTCAATGAATGGGTAGCAACAATGAATCGACTCCTCAGAGAAGCAACCGAAGCCCTTGAAAGAACACAGGAACAACAAGCAAACAAGATTAACAAACACAGATGAGACTTGCAATTCAAAGTAGGGGACAAAGTCTGGCTCTCCGCCAAACGCTTTGAACCAGAACATGGATTGTCAAAGAAACTCTCGAACAAATGGCTCGGACCCTTCCCCATCATTGAAAAAACCTCCAACGTCAACTACAAACTCCAACTCCCCCCTGACATGAGTCGTGTCCACCCTGTCTTCCACATAGAATACCTAAAAGAGTATCATGAATCCCCACCTCAATTCGCTGACCGACCTTACCCCCGACCTCCACCAATCATGCTTCCCACAGGCCCGAAATTCGTAGTAGAATCCATCATAGGACGACGAACTACACAGGTATCAGACCATCCGGAACCTATCAAAGAATACAAAGTCAAATGGACCGGATACCCYGATGAAGAATCTACATGGGAACCTCTCTCTAATCTCAAGAACGCTMTGAAACTTGTTCRCGYCTATGATCGYGCTCACCCTATATCCTAGATACATCCCCAACCTTAAACCCCTGCATAAACCCCGCCTTGACCCCGCCAAAACCCCGCATTCCTGCCCTACACACACCCCTGTCCCCAGCAAAGCCCTTGCCCCTTGACCTCCCTCTGTCTGTTCCGCTCTTGCCTCCGTCTCGCCCCCTTCTCCCATCTGTCCTCCGCCACATCCTTGTCCCTCTTGTCCAAGCTCCCTATGTGGCCCCTGCGCATCGCCGGCGATAATGGATCTATGGCAAGCGCACGAGGACGATGGCATGCTGCAACTCAGTACGAGGAGATAAGACAGCTGGTTGGCCACCATGCTGTTCCCTTTGGCCGGCACCTTGGACTCGCGGACTTCTGGAGCAGCACCTCTGACAGGGACATCAAGATCAGTCTGCGACCTGCTATCCGGATCAGACCTCAGCACCAGATCCGAGTACCGGACGCATCCTGCGACTGGGACATTCAAGCTGAAGCTCTCGCCGTCCACATCACAGATCTGCTGAAGACTGCTTTCTCACCGACACTTCTGCGACACCTTTCAAGACCTGTTCTCAAGACATCTACATGGACTGCTGCACAGAACTTTCAACCTGTACCACTAAATCCCTGACCCTCTGCAACCCCGCCCCATACATCACAAGCCAAATTTCCTTTTTTTTGAGGACCACATAACCTGTTTTGCCCTGAACCTCCTAATTCATCAGTAGAATGACCTTGTTTCCCCGTTGTTTCCAACCCCTTAGTTCATCAGTAGGATTACCCTGTTCCCTGTGCTTCCCAGCCCCCTTAGCACAGTAAAACTACCCTGATTCCTGCAAAACCCCTTAGCTCGTTGGTAGGATTACCCTGTTCCACGTGCTTCCCAGCCCCCTTAGCACATCAGTCGAAATACCCTGCAAAATCCCTTAGCTCGTTGATAGCATAGCCCTGTTCCCTCTTACTCCCTGACCCAGGCCACCCACATTATACCCCTCTTCCTTTTGACATGTTGACCAGTGATCGGCCCCGTCATGTCCTTCACAGACTTCAACATTGTTTCATGGCTTTTGGCAGCCGGGACGTTGCCTTCTAGAGGGAGGGGATAGTGTTACGGACTCAGCCAGGGCTCGATCCCTGGTCCATGGGGTACCACCCACGAGCCTGCTATTTTATTTTTTTCTATTTCCTGCTCTTCGGTTTCCGACTGTTGGCGCCCTCTGCAGTTGGCGCCCGTTTTCAAATCCCTCCTTTGGCACTTTCGGAGTTCGACACTTGGCGCCATCTGACAAATTGGCGCCCAGACTCAGACTTTCGGTTCTCAGTTCAGTCCTGAGGCAATGGCACTTCTTCCTTCCGGACTGAACTTGAGTCCGGTACTTGAGACCGGACTCAAGCCCAGTGCGGGCATTCAGTTTTCGGCCTCAGTGCTTGTGCTTCAGTGTGACTTGCTTCGACATTGTGTTCGGAAATCCAAGACTGCGACTTTGCGACTTTGCCACTTGGTGTCTGGGTCCGTCGAGTCATGTCGAGTCTGCGTCGAGTTGAGTGAGTGTGTGTGTGTGCTCTCCCTCTCCCTCTCTCTCTCTACCTCTGCCTCGTCACAGAGTCCGTGTCGAATTGAGTGAGTGTGTGTGTGTGCTCTCACTCCCTCCCTCTCTCTTCCCCGACCTCACTGCTCTACCTCCACGTCGTCACACTCTCCTTGGTGCCCAGCGCCCAGACTATTATCATGCAGCTACTACCAGCCTAGGAATTGACAATACAACCTGTTGACATCAGCAGCAGAACTGAAGTGCATGAAGATGTTGTCGCCAAGGCCAGGTATGTGCCCTCACATCATCATCCTCATCTCTCCCTCTCTCCCTCTCTCCCTCTCTCCCTCTCTCCCTCAACTTCTCTACCCACGTCTTGCTCCCATACATGAAGACCACCACCACCTCCACTGGCTATGTCCAAGCCGAGCCCCGGCTACGTGGGGCTGGCTATGGCGCTGCCCTCAGCAGCGCCCTACACCCTGCACGTCCGCATGCGCACGCGCGCTTGCACTAGCGCAGCTAGCAGCTCGCGAGCAATCGCTCCAGCAGCGCTGCCGCCCACAACTTGCAAGTGCCCAAATGCCAAGGTGTCTGTGCCCAGGCCCGTTCAGACAGCGGCCTGGGACGGATTTGGTTAGGCATGGCCAATCAGCCAGGCACAATCGTGCGATGCTCCCTGCTTACCACATGTTGCTGGAAGGGCCTGGAAGGCTCACGAATCTTTCCCATTCTCACGTGCAAAGCAGATGTAACCAACTGGCGCTTGGCAACTGCCTGGCGCCGACCAAGATTTGTGAAAATTGACGAGTTCAGGGCGCATTGAGATTCAGGGGGCCCGCCTTCACTTAGGGCGGGCACGCGCCTGCTGCAGGGCCATATGCCGAGGGGCAAACCTTCGCAGAAGAAGAAGAAGAAGAAGAAGAAGAGGGGTGGGGGCAGAGAGGAAGAAGAAGAAGAGTGGTGGGGCCAAAGAAAAAGAAGAAGAAGAGGGGTGAGGACAGCAGGGAACATGCAATCACTGTCAGCGTTACCCGGAGTGGAACACCTCCTCTTGCCTTGGGGCCTGTTTTTTATTCTGCGTTCACGTTGGTGCACCCAATAGCTGGGGGACATGAGTTAATGGGATTCACCATCCTGCGAAACCAGAGCAAATGGAATGGGGTTGGAATGACCGTACGGGAAGAAGGACCTGTTGAGCTCGACCCTGGTTTGACTCTGTGAAATGACTTGAGAGCTCGATACTTAATGGGGGCTTTTATGGTGCAAGTCGCAACTTGAGAGCTGTCAAATGAGTGGGGGGTTTGTGGAGCAAATGAATTACCACTCTACCTTTAACGCCGCGGGAAAGTGGCAGCTCTACCCCCGCTTCTGGAGTCCAAGGTGCAGTGTATTGTTAGACGGGCAGTTTGGCTCGTGGCACATCTGTTAGAATGCAATGCAGGTGTCCTAACATGAGCTCAACGAGAGAAGAAATCTCTTATGGGACAAAACGTCAGAAGCACGGTTGATTTGATGATCTCCAGTATGAATACGAACTGTGAGAGCATGCCACACTGATCCTTCAGTGTTCGAGATTTGAGACTAGAGGTGGTAGAAAAGGTACTACGGGGATATGTGGCAGCCGCACTGAGGGCATACTCACACTGGGACCTTTTGTACTAAGCTTTGGAAGTGATCGCTGTCAGATGCATCCGTGTCTGGTTGTAGTTGCAGTCAATTACATTAAAAAAAGTCCTAGTGTGTGCATGCCCGCATAGTGAAGTTTGGTTGAAAAAGGAAAAAGGAAAAATACTTTTCTCTCTCTCTCTCTCCTTCCCCCTTCTTCTGGCCAATTGCTTCAGCCTCATGTGCAGTCAATGTGGTTTCCTTCTCAGTGTTGAAGCTCTATGCATGTGATGGAAATAATGCTTGCCTTTGCTTTGCAGCTGAAGAGTTTATGCTCACGCATTCAGTTCCGATCACACAGCAAAAGTATTCGCAAGTGCAGGTGTTGATTATGTGTAATCGTCGGTTTGTGTAGGGGTCGGCAGCGCTGGGTGGCAAGCACCTGAGCAGCTGCAACATGGGAGGCAGACTCGGTCGGTGGACATGTTTTCTCTTGGATGTGTCCTTTTCTTCTGTGTAAGTGGGGGGTGCCATCCATTTGGCGACAAGTTTGAGAGGGACCGTAATATCATCAATGGGCAGTCAGACCTATTTCCCATCAGTCATGTACCTGAAGCATTCGATCTCATTGGTGCTCTCCTGGACCCAGATCCCACGAAAAGGTAACAAAAAGAAGTGGTGCACAGACCATCATGTACTTGTCTGCATCCACCTTCTCGTCCTCCAAGGGGATTAGGCAATGTTAGCCACAGTAATGTTGAACAATTTGTATGTGATATGATGCTGCCTGGTACGTGATGTTGATGAGTGCATGCAGTGACCACTGTCTTTTCCTAGAGCTCAGCGCAGCCTACTTGTGAATGTATGCATCTCGAAGTCCAGTTCCGTACAGCCATATTGAGAGTGCATTGTGTTGGGGGGAAGATAATAGTATGTGTGTGTAAGACAATGTTGCAAACGACTGCAATCCGCATGTTACAGGGATGAGAATCTGTGCTATGTGATGGTGAATGGCGTGTGAAGATGGTGGGGGGCTGACAGTGATAAAAATTATATATGATGATTTCAAGGATTTTCTGTTACGCTTACATACGACTCTTCGTTGTATTGTTTGATCAATCGAGGACTCAAAGCCCTAACAATTAGTAAGAACTTAAGAAGGCAGCAGCAGCAGCAGCAGAAGAAGAAGAAGAAGAAGAAGAAAAAGAAAAAGAAAAAGAAAAAGAAGAAGAGAGGACTCAGCCTGACAATGATAAAATTTATATATGATGATTTCAAGGATTCTCCGCTGCGCTTACATACAGCTCTTTGTTGTATTGTTTGATCAATTGAGGACTCAAAGCCCTAACAATTTGGAAGAAGAAGAAGAAGAAGAAGAAGAAGAAGAAGATGATGAAGACGACGAAGAAGAAGAAGAGAGGAAGCCTAAGAAGAAGGAGAATAGAGGACTCGGAGCCCGAACAAATAGACGAAGAAGATGAAGGAGAAGAAGGGGGAAGCAAAGTGGGGTTGGAGGGGTAGGCCGAAGGGGATAGGCAGAGGAAAAATCATAAGCCATATGATTCTTGGTGAGTGGTGAGGAGAAAGACCAGTAGTAAAATAATAAAACTCCAATCATCCCATGCGGCAGCACAATCAATGAAGGAGCTGGGAAGAGCAACGATTGTTGACGAATATGAGAAACGAAAGAATGGGAACAATACAGAGAAGATTAGCATGACCCCTGTGCATGGGTGACATACATGAATCGAGAAATGTCCAAAAAAAAAACAGAGAAAAGAAAAGTGGCACAATCAGTGAAGGAGCTGGGAACAACAAAGAATGTAGAAGAAAAGGAGAAAGGGAAGGGAGTGGGTTCTTACACGACATGTGGTGGTATTATGGATGACCAGGAGAAGTCGATGAAAATGAGAAAAAGAACTGGAGGAGGAGGAAGAAGAAGGGGGTAAAGAGTGCAGACCTGCCGGAGGGGAGGGCATTCATAATGTTTCAGGTTTTGTTGCTTCTTTGTGAATGGTGGTCTCTTGCTGATGGTTGACTTGTTGGCAGTTTGGAGCTGACTGGTCCAGGCTCTGCTGACCGTTGGTGTGGAAATCTAGGGTATAGAAGGAACTAACTGTGCACTTGGTTTCTTGGTTTCCACGTTATGTTGGTGTGGGTAGGCCAACAGCGGCATGTGCTCTGATGCATCCGTTGCTCTGGTCGCCAGAGGAACGCCTTAATTTTCTGAAGGATGCAAGTGACCGTGTGGAGGGCGAAGACCGTGAGGAGAACTCTCAACTATTGATGAAGCTAGAAGACATAGGACCCTTTGCCCTGGGTGGGCCATGGGATGAGAAACTCAGCCCTGAGTTGCTGGACAACTTGGGAAAATATCGACGATACAATGTGAGGAGCGTAAGGGATTTGCTGCGTGTCATCAGAAACAAGCTTCACCATTACCGCGAACTCCCATCGGAACTTCAGGTGTGTCATCCATGATGGCAACTCCTTGTTACTTCAAAGTTCAAACCTCTGAGCCTCCTTTTGCCGAGGCAGATTCCCGTTCCGCGCCAAAATAAAAGTCCTCCAGGGTGGCATGCTATCTTTCTTTTGCGGCTGTTTTATGTTTCTTTTGCCTGGCCGCCAGCCATTTTGGTCCGGTAGCACTGTTCATTCACAAGTCTTCGGAATGTCGCGTTTCTGATTCCCGACTTTGCCTGGGAAAGGGTGTGGTGGTTTTACTTAGAAGTGGATCTCTGGCAGAAATGTTACCGTATGATCTCAGGCTTGGCCTTTTCATGAACCTGACAGACGGCCAGGCATGGTAGAATGTTGTTGTTGAATGCTGAAGTGAATAATGAAAACAAATGTCAATAACACAGTGCTGTCCGGGCCTTTCCCCTGGTGGCCCGGTTGGGGAAAGGTTGCCCGAGTACCTCCCGGGCGGGCCCGGCCGGGCAGGGCCTGGTCAGGGTCTCGGGCAGTGCCATCACATAACATTAAGAGGGGAAAAAAATCCAACAAAAAACATGTGGTCCCCTAAAAAATCCTCATTAATTTTCAGATAAAATTAAAAAAGAAAACACCAGTGTAAGGACCTGAAAAAAGTTAAAAAACAGAGACTGAGATCGCTGCTGATTTCGGGGTTTTGCTGCTTGATTGCGTGTTGTGCTGCTTGCCGAATTTTCTTTTTTCCTGAGTGGGGGGATCCGGGCCGCCCGGGTGACCGGCAGGGGCCCGCAGGAGGTCCCGAGCGTCCTGGCCGGGCAGGGCACCCGGTTGGGGGCCGGGCCCCCCCAGCGCACTCACCTGCCGGGGGATTTCGGACCCCCTTTGTGTGTGTGTGTGTGTGTGTGTGTGTGTGTG